GGGCCGGGCCGGGCGGGGCGGGCGGGGCGGAGGCCGAGCGGCGGACCGAGAGGAGCCGCGGGGCAGCGCCAGGTGCTCACCTTCTCCGCCGCGCCGGCCCTGGCTGCCAGCAGTTGTTGGCCGAGAGCGCCCGAAAAGCTCCCAAGATGGTGGGGAAGCGCCAGCGTGGAATCTGAAGACCCGCAGCCTGGGCGGGCACGAGCTGGCCTTCGCGGTGGGGGGCGGAGATGGTGGAGACGGTGGAGATGGTGGAGCTAGTGGCGATGGCGCTGGGCCTGCGCTTGGTGCGCAGAGGACAAAGGGGCTTCCTCTGGGAAGAAAGAAAGGGAGATGAGGCACCTTTCTGGCTGCTCCCTCACAAAAGGTAGAAAGAAGCTGAATACTGTGCTGCAAGAGTGAGCAGCACTTTGTTACGGTATTTTAGAAGGCCCCCTCTGCGTCATGAGCCGAAGTCATAGGAATACAACCTTTCTACACGCAGGCCTTCGAGAATCTCAGAATGGCTGAGCATGGTGGCCCACACCTGTGATCCTAACGCTTGGCTGACCCAAGCAGGAAGATTGCCACAAAGTCAAGGCCAGCCTGGACTACAGAGCGAGAGACCCTGTCTCAAAATAAAAATAAATAGGGGGCCGGGGAAATAGCTCAGTAGAATAAGAGCTTGCCTGGCAAGTGCAAGGACCTGAGTTCAATCCCCGATTCCGCCAAATAAATAAATACATAAACAAACTTAAAATACATCTAGGCCTATACTATAGAACAGAAGTGAAAAAGTAACTTCAGCTGGGTGTGGTAGTGTGAACTTGTAATTCCAGCCCTGGGGAGACTGAAGCAGGAAGATCATCGCAAAGTTAAGGCCAGCCTGGGCTACAAAGTGAGTTCAAGGCCAGCCTGCCTGAACTGTGTAGTGAGCCCCATCTTGACTAGATACACAGAAAACAAACAAACAAAAACAGTAATGTCTACTGAAACGGCATAGCTAGAGCCCAGATGTGTGAACACCAAGGCTCCTGTCCCTGGAAGCAAGGGGCTGTGTCCTCGGGCTCCCAACAAGAAACTGCTGCAGCACTGTGGCACAGGTGTGGAGCTGGTGAGTCAGCCACCTGGAGCGCTGCCGTCAGTGAGGTGGCTGTGTGGAATGCTGAGGGATAGTTGGGAGCAAAGCCAGGCTTCCCTAAATTCACACAGAACTAGAATTGCATTCCTAGAAAGCTCACGGTATATTTAGACCATTTTTTTTCCAAAAATTGTATTAATATAAAGGCTCAGATAATTAAACCCAAGCTTCCACCTACATGAATGTCCTAGGAGACTTTTTTTTTTTTTTTTTTTTTGCGGAACCAGGGATT